GTAAGTTACCGAGAGCGAGAATCCAAAAACCAAAAAAATTTGCAATTCGCGCCCAAATTACCGACCAGCTTCCTGTTGGTATTACTTGGCAACTTTACCGACTAGAATCACGTGGGAAGATGCAAGTTTACCGACAAGATGCAAGTGGGAATCTTCATTTACCAACTAGGATTACGTTGCTAGTATGGTTGGTAAAAATTCCACGGCTTCCTCTCCAGATTTCGTCCATTTTGCCTAAGTTCCTTTCCAAATTTCGTTTTCATGCCATTTTTTAAATTTATCTAACAGATTTCTTACATTTTAGTGGACATAAATTTTAAAAAAATTTATCAAAATTCCCCCATATATATGATAAAAGGTATTTTCTTTTTTTAAATCTGCATTTGCAATAGTACAACTTTATTATAAAAAAATGCAATAATTTGAAATTTATTCAATAGATTTTTTTCAATTTGGTCATTTTAGTTGGCATAAATTCAAAAAGAAATTTCATAGAGTTTCCCCATACATATGATTAAAACCAATTTTTTTTACTTGCATTTGCAATGAAAAACACATATATTCTACAAGTCTAGCATACTAAAAACCATAAGCACAACCGCAACCACAAAGTATATATGGCAATCACACACCATTGTCTTAAATACCCACGATATTCAGTTAATAATAATTAACTTCCAAAGCAGTCCAAAACTTCATACCTTTTGAAGTATGATCACTGAAGGTCAAGCAAAATAAGAAAAGATATCATAATGAAAAGCTAAAGCTAACAGTTTAAAGTACTAACAGAAATAAAGCCAACCATGCAAAGTATGCAGATAATGTGCGTAGCAGAAAAATAAAAAAAACTTAGGGCCCTGATAGTCTGGATCAAAAGTAGAATGGTATGCATCATCATCTCGAGGCGGAAACTGCTGCTGTTGCTGATATTCAGGAACCATAAGAGAGGTTTGTTAGGTTCTCTTTGTATTTTGATGATGATTTTAAACCATGATTCAAAAGAGTTTAATCTATTTTTGTGCTAAGTGTGCAGGAAAATTAATCCAAGATTTCTAATCTTTCCCCACGATTAGAATTAATTCATGTTCCTCCTTGTTCAGAGTTCTGGGTTCGAACCAATTTATTTTGGTTCGAATCAATCTCGGACTTTTGTTTTCCAAAAATGGTTCAAAGCAATATTTCTGGCTTCGAAGCAAAAATTCTGGAAAGTTCAGTTTTGACAGCTCAACTATATGTTTTCTCTTAATGGGTCATAGGGTATCTAAATGTCTTAGCACTTTCCAAGACAAGTCAGAAGAATAAGGTGGAACCTAATTGGAGCAATTGTGAGGTGGCTTTGAAGGTCTAAATGGGCAATTAATGGCAAGGCTCCCAACCAATTATTAAAACACCAAAAATCAGATCTAGAGAAGAGAAGAAGGACGAATTGCTACAGAGAACTCAGTTTGAAATTGTTCTGGTTTTCCTTCTTCTTTTCTTCTTGTGAGGCTTTTGGGTATATTGTCTTACAAGGGTTTTGTATTCTTCTTGGATTGGGTTAATCCTTGAAGGGGTTGAGTGAGTTGAGATTCACTTGTGAGGGTTTAATCTTGCACCCGCAAGCAAGAGGTTGTTTCGGTTTAATCTTGCACCCGTAAGCAAGAGATTTCTAGTGGATTGAACTCTCGAGCAAGGAGGATTGGGGAGTGGACATACTCCGGGTTGGAGGAACCACTATAAATCACGGCTTGATATTCTCTTCCTTTTCTTTTTATTTTTCTGCACTTTATTTGCAAGATTGCAGTTGATTTTTGTTTTATTTTGCATAACAGATTATACGTATCTATTGAAAACTTCATTCATGTTTTTATAACGGAATAGAATGAGTTTTATATCTTAGGAATTGGCTTGGGGTAGCTGCTGGGATTTCAAGGTTTGTGTAGAATCAATGCAGTAGGTGAAAGCTAAATTCATGCGAAGACCTGAGCCAGGACCATGTGACAGTTGTGGTGGGGCAACTAGATGATGACTTGCGTGAGGGGAGATGCCATGAGTGGCTAGAGCTACTGCAACAGATTGTGCAATTGTCTGGCTCATATTATTCTGAGCTTGTGTCATATTGGCCAACTGCTGTTGCATTAGAGCAATTTGTTGGCATTGTCTTTCTAACTCCTCACTTTGTTTTGATGATGCCTCCTCATAGTTAGACACCGTCATTGCTGCTATTAAGTTTTCTCGAGGTTTTCTCTTCCTATAAGTAAAACCAACCATCTCTGGATTTACTTGGGAGCCAATCCCTGGCATGAAATTAGATGAGCAACCTCCAACAGCCTTAACCCATGCCTCATTATCCATGCGTGGCCATGAACTAGCATCGGAGCCATGACTCTCTCTGCACTCTGCAACATAAGTATCTTGAAAAAATAATAGTAATAGTAATAATGTTGTGAAAAGTAGTTTGAAAAGAATCTATAAAAAAAAGTAAACTTTGCTAAATAATTTAGATTAATTACATAAATTTTTTTGACACTTATAAGTATACATTTTATGCTAATTTATATGTTATATATACTTACATATCGATGCTTTGCTTTTTCATTGATCCACGCTAGCTCTTGATCCTTTCCTGCCTTTTTTCTGAAGGTGTGTGTCTCCTTTAATTTCTCCTAATGGGGAGGTTGCACACCACCTCTAGACTCAGTCTATATTTTAAAATATTGATAATGCAATATATTGGTTAGTATAAATTGACACAATTTATTGTTAAATAAAATTTAATATATTCAATTTTTTTATTAATTAAGCTTGATTACCATCCGCATCTCATGGATGCCAAAGCTAATGGACCCAGTGGTGTGAGTCACCCTCTCCCCAGAGCTCCTATTCTTTGCTCCCCTTGCACTGAGCCTCTTATATTCATCAGAGTCCCAATATGTCAGCAACTGAGGCCATATATGAGTTGGGATCCAACATGGGACATAGGCTGAGTTCTTGTGCCATTTCAACTTCTTATCCTTGAGATTGTCACTCCATCTATGTTTCATACAATTCAGGAATGCAACTCGCACATGGCGATTATCTGCAGGATCCCACTGGTAAAGTGTCTGCAAAATAAGAAATGAAAAACATTAGATGTTTGAGAAATGTAAATTCTAGTTTAGTAATGAAATTATTTATTTTTATTAGAAATTGCTAAATGCATTCATTTTATTAAATTTGCTAAAACTTAATCTTACCTTGAAACAATTATAAATTTCAACAATCTTACTTTGGGGGACACGCTCGTATGTGAAATACAGGTCATCAAAACGTGACTTCCATAATGAAGTGATAGCCCGAGGGATGTTTGGATCAGCAAACTGGAGCTTATCATCAATGAGTTTAACCCATTTCCTGCTCTCTCTATTTTCTGGAGGGTGTATTCCTTTTAAATTCCTGCTTTGTCCTTTTTTCCCCGTCGAGGATGAAGGGCCCTCCTTCTCATTATCAGGTGCAAAATTATAATCCATTAATGGATCAATCGTTTGTTGTATATTTGGAGCTATGCCACTATCAGTAAACAACTGCGGGTGATTAAGATTGTGTTGCCCTTGTGATCCTGAGGAGGAAGATCTCCTCCTTGCCAAACCTGTAGGATTTCCAAACATCTTGAAAAATGAATAACAAAATAGTTATTAATACATTTATACAAATAACGAGTAACAAATTTAGAACAATCATACAATATTTTATTTTAAATGAAAAATATATATAACTTGATAAAACAATATATATAAGACAAAGAAATTTTAATACATATATTTAATAAGTAATAATACAAATATTTCAATTAATCATCACTATCATCACTATCATCGCTATCATCATCATCCTCAACATTATCACTATTTTCTGATGATTCTGAATCTTTTTCTTCTCCATAGTCCTCCTCTTCTTCAAATGTATTAGCATCAACCTCAACTTTTGTAACACCTTCTGCACATAGTTGAAGTGATTGGTATGCAGTTAAATCTATATCTAATGAAGAGCATTGAATTATTGAGGGGTCATCATCTTGAAAAATATCATCAACCTGTCCTGAAGATGAGGTAGATGAGGTCTCAATTAGACGTCTAAATTTGATTTTGCATGCTGCCAACCATCTTCGAGTAGTTCTATCTGTGGCTACCGGATATGGAGTATAATAAACTTGTTGTGCTTGACTAGCAAGGCAAAATGACTCCCACATTGAAAGTTTAAACCTTGGATTGACATCAACAATTCCGTGTTCAACATTGACACGTATTCCTCGGTCCGTCTCATACCAATCACAATTAAACAATATTATAGTTTCTTGATGGTGTGAGTGTCCATAATACAATAACTCGATCACCTCTTTTAAGACACCATAATAATCAGTTTCATCTGTAGAATTAATGGTGGTTCCTTTAACACAAACACCACAGTTTTCTATTACTAGTAAACTCTTCAGTTAAAAGTCTAAAGCCATTCACATAGAACCCATTATAAACATTCACTTCAAAGATCGGGCCAACTGCAAGGTGGATAAGTTGTTCATTGATTTCATATTGTCCACTAAACACCTATATTTGAAAAAAAAAATTAATTTAGTAATATTTAATATTTAATTAAAAATTTGAGAAAATAATATATACCAATTTATTACTATATTTTTAAACCATTGAACAAAATTATTTGTTTGCAATCTTTGTAGTTGTTCATGTGATAAATTTGCACAAACTTCTTCCTCAAATTTACTATAAAATAACATTTATTTATTAATTAAAATGTTATGAAAATCATATAGGCTATTAAACATCGTATAGTTCTTATTTTCGTAAGAAGTAAAACCTACATTACCCAAACATCAACCTCCTTGCAATTTAGCAAGACATATAGTTCAGCTGCATCTTTCTCCTCTAATGTTAAACATCGTGTACGTGAGTGGGCACCTATTGATTCACCAAGGGAACAAAATACAGATAACTTATCTGGGACATTGGCTCCAATGCCACCATAGTTCCTTGGAGGCTGATTTTAGCTTGTCTCAACATCATCCCCAAAATAATGAGAGCAAAAGTGAGATATCTCGTATAATATAAACGCCTCAACAATTGATTCCTTGACATGATTTTTATTCCCTATGGTACTTTTAAGTTTGCGCATGCGCCTGAAAAGAAATACTGATAAGATTAATTTAAAAAATGGTAATCAATGTAAGTTTTAAAATTATCAATTTCTTTGTATGTTTTACCTTTCAAATGGGTACATCCAATGAAATTGAACAGGACCACCAACTCTGGCCTTATATGGAAGATGAATCGTTAGATGTTTCATAGAATCAAAGAATGTTGAGGGGAATATTATTTCTAACTTACAAATTATTTCAACAATCTTTTCCTCCCACTTCTGCATCTCAGTAACTTTGATGACTGGGAAACAATGTGAACGAAAGAAGTTACTAATGTCGATCAAAAGACCCCAAATAGCAGATGGCAATAAACCGTGAAAAGCAACTGGAATTAGTCATTGTATGAAAACATGACAATCATGACTTTTCATCCTGAATAACCTGGACTCATTCAAGTTGACACATCTTGATATGTTGGAAGCAAACCCATCTGGAAAGTGTAGTTGTTTTAGCCATGTACATAAAAGCTTTTATTTTTCGGATGCCAGTGCATAACTAACATTAGGTTTCACAAGCTTACCATGTGTATTTATATCCCATGTGCAGTTTTCTTCGGTCACAATAAATGGCTAAATCCAATCTTGCTTTCCCATTGTCTTTTGTCTTATTGTTATTCATAACAGTGTGTATTATATTATCAAAGAAAATTTTCTCACAGTGCATTACATCAAGATTATGTTGAATAAAATTATTATGCTAATAAGGAAATTCTCAAAAAATGCACCTTTTCACCCAATTATGGATGTTCCCAAAACCCTCAATTATTTGGTTTTCAAAGGGTTTCCCAAACAACACATCAGGAAGGTTTTCAACTTGGTGATGCATTGAAACACCATCCAATCGAGGAGGGGGACTGCCTAATTCAACCTAACCCTTCAAGAAATTACTCTGATCAAATCTAAAAGAATGTGGTTCCGGTAAAAACTGATGATGACAATCAAAAAAACATGGTTTCTGACCATTTTGAAGATAAAAAGATTGTGTCATCTCCATACAGTAAAGACATGACAATTGGCCATGACAATTGGCCATGACAATTGGCCATGACAATTGGCCATGAGTGCTCCAACCAGCCATCATACCATCACCCGAAAAATCAATTACGGTCCACATCAACACAACCCACATTATGAAGTTTTGCTTACGATAACTATCATATGTTTCTACACCAATCAACCATAACAATTTCAAGTCTTTAATTAAAGGTTAAAGGAAAACATCAATATTTTTACCTGGGCTTTTTAGACTTGCAATGACCAATGTAAGAAAAGTAAACTCTGGTCGCATGCACATCTCTAGTGGCAAGTTATAAACAATCAAAAAAACTAGCCAACAAGAGTAGGAGGTTGAAGAATTAGCCCATGGGTTGAAACCATAAATAGCAAGACCTAATCGAACATTACGAGGTTCTCTTTTAAAAGAAGGATGCATTTGATCAAAATGTCTCCATGCTTCTGATTGTGTTGGATGAATGACCTCATCCATATCACCACAACATTTCAAATGCCATCTCATGTGCTCAGCTATTTTTCGAGACATGTATAGCCTCTGAAGGCGAGGTATTATTGGCAAGTACCAAAGATAATTCCTCGGAATGTCCTTTTGTCTGTTCCTCCCTGGATTTCTCTGTTATACCTCGCTTCTCCACAAATTGGATATGTAGTCAATGTTTTTGTATGCTCTCCATTGTATAAAAAGCAGTTGTTAACACAAGCATCAATTTTTAGATAACTTAACCCAAGCCCTTTCATATATTTTTTACTTCATAAAAGTCTGTAGGAAATTTTTCCTGATCTTCAGCACTTAACAACCTCCTACATCCTTTGAGAATGGCATTAAAACCATTAGCAGTTATATTATTTGCAGTCTTTGTATGCAACATATAAGAAAGCCAGCTAAGCACTGTCTCATTTCTTTTAGAACTACCAAGTGGAATTGTAGATGCATGAAGCAAGTCATAAAATGCCTTTGCTTGAGTGTTTGGTTCCTCATCTAGATGTTGATTAGGGAAATTACCTTCCATTTCTCGATTATCATCATCCTTTGGACAAAATGCTTTATACACCATTTCACGAAAGTCATTCCTTTCATCATGGTGTGTATCTTGGCTATGTGATGATTCTCCCAGATTAGTAGCAAACCGTGGATTTGCTGAATTCACAAATGTCTTACCATGTGCCCACCAAACAGAATAAGCATTCATAAAACCATACTTAGTAAGATGGTCCCATACCATTTCCTGAGTCATCAATGGTAAATTAAAGCATTTAGTACAAGGGCATCTGATTAAATCATTCGGTGGAAGACTAAAGCTATTGTATGCAAATTGAAAGAAATATTCAACTCCATTATAGAACTCATTATATATCTCTCCTCATGGAGTTCAACGCCTATACATCCAACTACGATCCTCCATAATTTTATTAAATCAATAAAATAAAATTAATAACATGATTAGTTTCAAAATAATTATTATACCTTTCACATATTTTATAATTGGTTAAAATCCTAATTTATCATATATACATATGTATATATGTTAAATTTAATCATCAACAAAATTTATCAAACACAAATGATTGATTTTTTATTTAATAAAAAAATTAATATTTAACCATACAATTATAAAAATATAGTGACAATGAAACTTATTTTGTAATTAATGAGGATCCACAAGAGTTCAAGTATTAACCTACAAAATAATTATTAAAATATTAATTTATATATTTTTTCAATTAAAAATTT